TCAGGGATAAATAGGGGGACAGTAAGAGACCACATGTTGAAACAGCTCATTACTGTAGACTGGTTATTTTCAAAGTTAAAACAAATGGCGGTGGGGGAACTTGAGAAAATACTCAAACCAGGGGTTCTCACTAACAGATCAGGAACTACTTGTGGTTCCTTGCCTTACTAGTAGGTCTCCAAGCTGGTTGGTCTTTCCTTGGGTTTCTCAGAATTTCCAGTAAAGGGAGAAAAGCAGGATAAGGAGAGCTCTTAGGCCTGATCAGCATAACTTTAACACTAACAGCAACACTACTCTATTTCTATCCCTCAAGTAAGTTCCAAACTTTGAAAAAATAGGTTGTTTTTACAGCTCCCATACTTCCTGCCCCCAAAAGGTTGAGTGGCACTGTCTCCTCTCATGGGATACATTTGGAAGGGCTAGCCAACAGATGAGAGAGTAGTACCCCACAGTACTTACTTCCTAAAACAGGAAAAATCATGTTCGTTGTCCAGAACTCCTCTATTAAGACTGCAGAGGATCCATGAAGGTAAAACATCACGAGCTAGAACAATGCCACAGAAAGTATAACTAGCATTCCTGACTACAACAGCAAGGAGCGTCCTGGCTGCTCTGCATATTATAAATACATAGCTCATTCCTCATTAGTACAGTACCAAGAAAAAAGTATATATATATCTCCCCACTAGGAATATTTTATGTAATAGTATATGTACTGAATGATTTCAGTTTTTAAAAAACCCTGTAATTCCATTATCATAGGTAAGAAATATGGGATTAGACAGACTAGGTTTTTATTCTACAAGATTAGTTCAGAGTAGAAATGAATAGCAGAATCTATTAATGCATTCATCAAATTTCTTGAACTATAAATATCACAATTAAATTTTCAGCACTTCAAAACAGTCCTGTGACTTTTCCAATAACTAGAAAAAAAATTACATCTATTTTCAAAAACTCCCATGTCAAGATTATTTCTAGAACCCAAATTCATCTTTCATTAAAAGGTAATAAATGAGAAACCAGTAACAGTTATTAGATTCCAGGTAGGAGAATTTAGTAGCTGGAGACAGGTGTACAAAAGGGCCTTTTGAATTTTAAACTATGTGGAAATATTACCTATTCAAAGTAATCAACTGCATTTTATTTACTATTTATTTTTTGAGATGGAGTCTCATTCTATCACCCAGGTTGGAGTGCAGTGGTGCAATCTCAGTTCGAAGTAATTATTTTTTTTAATTTTATTTTTTCTGAGATGGAGTCTGGCTCAGTCGCCCAGCTCTGTCGCCCAGGCTGGAGTGCAGTGGCACGATCTCGGCTGTCTGCAAGCTCCGCCTCCCAGGTTCATGCCATTCTCCTGCCTCAGACTCCTGAGTAGCTGGGACTACAGGCGGCCGCCACCACACCTGGCCAATTTTTCGTATTTTTAATAGAGATGGGGTTTCACCGTGTTAGCCAGGATGGTCTCAATCTCCTGACCTTGTGATCTGCCTGCCTCAGCCTCCCAAAGTGCTGGGATTACAGGCGTGAGCCACCGCGCCTGGCCCAAAGTAATTAATTTTAACAACTAAAAATTACTGATGAGAACACACAGCACTTCTGTAGACTTGCAAGCTTTCCCCATACGTCTAAAAATATTACAAAATATTTTTACAAAATTCCTACAATAAAGACAATAAAATTAATCCGAACAGGTTGCAAAAGCCAACTCCTTTTAGAATTTTAAAACAAAACAAATATCAAAAATCCAATCCCACACTACTGTTTCATTTAATCATGGACCAGATTACCAAAATGTCACTGGGTGAAATACAATAATTCTTCCTTTTGTGTGTGTGTGTGTGTGTGTGTGTGTGTGTGTGAGAGAGAGAGAGAATCTCGCACTGTCACCTGGGCTGGAGTGCAATGGTGTGATCTCAGCTCACTGCAACCTCAGCCTCCCAGGTTCAAGCGATTCTCCTGCCTCAGCCTCCTGAGTAGCTGGGATTACAGGCGTGTGCCACCATGCTCGGCTCATTTTTGTATTTTTAGTAAAGACGAGGTTTCACTATGTTGGCCAGCCTGGTCTTGAATTCCTAACCTCGTGATTCGCCTGCCTCAACCTCCCAAAGTGCTGGGATTACAGGCGTGAGCCACTGCTCCGGGCCTGTAAAACACAATTCTACTAGCTTAATGTGGTACATGAAATCCCAATCTCAGGAATTTAAGAAATTAAAAAAGCTAATGATGAGGCTAGTATTTAGTCTTAGGATAGCTGATCATTTCAGATAATGAGTGAAAACAACATTCCATGAAATATCCAGGCCAATATTTCCTTACATGGGGTGTAAGAAATGCTCCCCCATGGAAAGCTTTGAAAAATCCTAAGATTTTAATCCACAGGGTCTAGTTTTTTTCTTCTTCAAACACTGGCCATTATAGATAAGACAAAGCGTATAGACACACACACACAATGTATGCACAAACACATATATACACAAATATACACACACACACACACATATACACACGTGTGTTATGTAAATATATGTAAAAGCAGTGTCAAGGAAGTTTTTATACCAATTAACCTGTGGGCAAAGCAGCAGCTAGAGACCACTCTGACAGACTTTTTGCCTGAAAACATATTATACTGTAACTATTTTATTACCACTAAAGAACCTAAGATGCATCTTTATATAAAACAAAATGATTTTATATACAGTCTGAACTAGTTTGTCTTAAAACAGTGAGTCTCACTTTGATTCCCTATCTGGAAAGTTGTCTGATCCACTATTAAGTAACTCTATCCAAGATCCTAAAGCAAACGTTACATATCCATTAAGAGTTAGTAAAAGGTAAAAAAACAAATAATAACAAAAATACCACACATACACTCTTAGCTTTAGTTCTTTAATTATCTTGTAATAATTAAACCTGCATATTCTTAAACTAGCAACAACAAAATCCCTCCTTTCTTTCCAAACTACAAAGTGACACTTTGCCTACTCCATAAAACTTTCAAAATAGAGTATTCTTAGCTAACTTCTCTTCATTATATGAATCGGACATTTTAAAAAATGTAATTAAAATGTCAGTTTTTCAAATAACAACATATTTTTACATGTGGCTGGCAACATCTTTATTCTTTTAGTTTACGAATGCAACTTAATGTATTCATTTTAAGGCTATTTATGTGCCCTCTTTAAGACTCATACTATTTTCCCTAAAGTTCTTTTCTCCTCTGTGCCAACACAGAATCTCCAGAACGGTTTCTACTAGCTGCAGAGAAGCAACAATTCTACAGTGAATTTCATTTACCATTTGGTTGGGTACATACTGAAATTTGGATTCATGAATATTTTTGACAGTTTATGGACATCAGTGAGAAGAAAACTGACACTCTGGCATGTGACCGCCGACAATCAAGTCACTTTACTTCAAATAGAAATGGAAATAGACCTCAGTAGCTAATAATTTTGAACATATGAATAAAAGTGTTCAAAAGAAAATTACATCAACTAAGTTCGAAATTACACACAAATCTTGAAATGAAAATTCACAGTAAACATTTTAAAATACACAATGGGACTAAAATAAGTTTGCCTGACACGTTTTGATCCAATGCTAATATTATTAACCGCATCTTGAAAAAGCTTACTGTAGCAATAGAATCCTTAATATTAAATGCTAGAATTTCAAACGAGTGTCACTATTTTCTCAAAAATATTTGTCAACTGTACTACATATAGCGCCAATTCTGGAAGAAGACGAACATGATTTGAATGGAACATCAGAAACACACTGATATACATACGTGAAAGGAAATAACGAGACTACAGATTTTTAAAATTTACCCCCAAAATGATAAATGTATCAAAGAAACAAGACACATTTGCCAATTATGTTGCACAAGATCTCTGTCTTGAAACATCACATTCTTTCAAGCAACATATAGCAAACTGCTTTCTCTAAGACTATCTTTAACACTGACTGGTGAGAAAGCCTTTTAAACTATTTTCCAATTAACATCTCCCTCCTCAATTTGTTAAATATTTTGATCAAGTACAACAATGAAACCGTTTTTAAGGAAATAATGTCTAACTTAAAAAAACATTTAATCTCAATCTCTTTAATCAACGGAGGTGTGACAACCAACGCATGTAAAATTAACCTTAATCCACCAACTAAAACACGCAAAATGTCTCCTAACAATTCTCCTCCTTAAAACAACAACCGTACACATAAATACGGTTCTGACCTCCACCACTACTGCGAACAGCTAATTAATAAAGAGAATGGTTGTTTGGAGACCAAGGTGCAACACCCCACCTCATAAACCTCCCAAAATAACCATGTCATCCAAGTAGAACTGAACATTATTTTTGCTAAAGCAGGATTTCAATCCCGGGGAGCCTCAGCCCTCAGACAATGGTGGTTACCAGACAGTGCTGCACAGTTGGGTCCAAATGACACATTTCACTAGGCCTTGGACACAACACACACACATGCGCGCGCGCGCACACACACACACACACGCACACACACACACAATATCCCAAGGGGCCAGTTCTAAGGAAGGGGCGTTCAAACCCCACTAGGAGACGGAGAGCAGCACCGCGGCATGGGGGGTCGCTAGGGGAGGACAGGCAAGGGGGTGTCGATAGAGCGGGAGGGTAACTGCACTGCACACGAGGGAGGGGGCTGGAAATGGCCGATGGATTCTATATTTATTTATTTAAAGGTCTTGATTTAACGGGTCCTTCCCAGGGGTTCTGTAACTAAAGACAAACTGCGCAGCAAACATTGTGGGCTTGGGAGAGGAGTCGCTGCTCCCCCTACCCCGTGACCAGGGACGGGGGGGGCGGGGGAAACAAGTTCCCCGGCCAACACCACAGACCACCCCGATTCCCCTCTCCCGCTCCTCCCCAGGAAGGGGTAGGCTAACACAGAAAAATGGGGGAAAACAAGTTCCCCAGCCAACCCCACCGCCCGATTGCTCCCAGTTGCTCCCCCCAACCTACCATTAGAAAGAGACAGACTAAACCATGGAAGGCAGCAGAAAAGGGAGAAATCACGCCGCTCGCCTTCCCCCGCGGCCAACAGACTTCCGCGGGGTCCGTGAGCGAGCCGAGAAGCCAAAGGGATGGGTGGGGGTGGAGGGTGCCGAGCCCCCGAAACCAAACAAAGCGCGGCCTGAGCGAGAGCCCGGGCGAGTAGGGAAGCCGCGGCTTTTCCTGCCGGCCCGGCCCCGGCTGACACTGCG